GGGGGGGGGGGGGGGGGGGGGGGGGGGGATGAGGAAGCATGATTTATCCACTTAGGGCTTGTACTTCCAGCGCCTTCCAGGGCCTGAAGGTCAGATCTACCATGTATGGTTATACAGGTCATTCACTGCACAAGAGTATCCAACCAAGGGAGCAAGTGGGTGCTAAAATACAGCCTGTACACTGCTTGCTAAGTTGTGTGTCCCGGTACAAACCAGTGTCCAACCAGAGGATGACTTTTTTCGAGTATTCCCAAGGGTTACTATGAGCTGGCAGTGGCCCTTCAAAGGCCATGCTGCCAGGCCATAAACCCTCCGTCTCCCTGCTCCCCTTTCCTGAAGTACAGTAGGGATAAGAGCTTGCTCATTTCCAGGCTGTGGTGGGGTGGACACAAGGGCACAAAGAACTTCAACTAACAGAAGTCAGAGCCAAGGGTTTTCACTTTGAAGAAATGTGAATTCCAGTGTGTGTGTGTGTGTGTGTGTGTGAGTGTGTGTGTCAAGTACTAAACTGTAGATTATCAGGGAGATGTGTTAATAGTATAGATAATAATAACTAATCCTCATGAGTCCGTTGCTCTATGCCAGGCTCTATTCTAAGTGTTTTAAATGCAATGCATTTCGTTTAATCCCAGGAGCTGCCTTTTGAAGTGAATGTATTACTATAACCCTGTACAGATGAGCAAGCTACAGTTTAGAGAAGTTTAGTAACTTGCCCAAGATTATCCAATTTGTCAGTGGCAGAATTCAACTCCAGATTGTTTCCACTGCCTGCAGTCTTAGCCATTATACTATTCTGCCTCCTAACAGAGAAAAGAGGAGGGAAAATATCAAACAGGGTTTGGCCCTCTATCTAAATTATAGCAGCATTTCCTAAACTTATCTGACTCCAAAGCCCTTTTTTTATCCAAACATTTATTGACATCCCCAGGAACTACTATTCCACAGGACACAGTTTTGGAAGCTTGTGGTATACTAATTACTGCTGTTTGTGTAAAATGCTTACTGTTTAGGATAATTATTATGCAACATAGTCACTGTTATAATTAATATGTCAGCTTAACTTGGTTTTTTATTTGATACAGCTACACTGTTTGCGATTGCCCAGTTTCCTGTTGCCCATATAGCAGAGTCATGTCTTCTGATTTCAAAATCAAAATCAGACTGTTGTTTTTGGCTTTTTGGTGGGCTCCTTTTTTGTCTGGCTACTTCTTTAACTTCGGGCCTCCCCAGGGCACTTTGCTTCCCTCACTGCTCAGCTTAGAAATTTCACCCACATTCATGGTTTTTACCATGATCTGGGCCCCAGTGACCCCTCTAATGCCTGGACCTCTCCACTGTGGATACCCCACAGGCTCTTCAGACTCTTCGCATGCACACATATAAAGCAGTGGGCCAGAATGCCTGGATTCTGACTTCTTTCCACCACTCTACCAGCTGTGCAGATCTGGCTAAGCTATTCAACATCTCCAAATTTCATTTTCCTCATCTGTAAATTGAGAATCATATCCACTTCATACAGTTAAGAGAAAATGCATGAAAAAGTCCTGGCACAGTGCCTGGTCCATATACGTGGTTAATAACTGTTAGCCATCTTCAACCTTTCTGTCACAGACGTGTTTGCCTTGCCTGTATTTCCTATCTCAGTTTATGACCCCATTATCCACCCAGGCACAAGCCAGAAACCCTGGATTTGTGTCTCTCCCTCACCCACCAGGTCTCCATCACTGCTTACCTCCCGGATATATTTCCAATCCACACCTTCCTTCTCATTATGACTCCCCTGTGTCAAGCACTCATCATCTCTTTCATTTGGTTCTCTGTCTCCATTCTTGGCTCCTCTACCTGAAATCTACAGTGCAGTGGTCTATCTAAAATGCAGATTTCCTCAGGCGCGCACCTTGTTACTGCTCAGAATAAAGACCAAGTCCTTTCCCATAACTTAGCCACCACATGTGCACACCCTGCTTCTCTGCCTTATGTCCCCACACTTTCCATCTTGCTCTTCTTGCTCTAGTAACACTGTCCACTGCCTGTTGTTTCCCTACACGCAGATTCCACACCTGAGCTCATGTGGCTGTCTTGCCTGTGAGGCTTGGAGCTTTTTTCCTGGCTAACTCCTTTGTTTGGATGTCATTTACCAAGCCTTCCCTGAACCCCAGAGGGAATGTATACTTCTGTAACATCCACGGGTTTTCACTGACCACTAAATATTAAATATGTCAGTCTTATGTTTGTCTGTAGTTCCTCTCAGGTGAGAATCACGTCTTACTTACATGTGGCTGCAGGACCTAGCATAGTTCCTGAAACGGGAAGTTCTCTGTAAGTGTTGTATAAATTGATTGTACCCATTAATGACTGAAAAGTACAGCTTGGAAGGACACTGTTTCTCTTCCTCCACCTCAAGGAACAGTGTCCAGGCTCTGTCTGCCAAGAACCAGCAATGCATACTATTTACACTGGGCTTTAAAATCTCCAGGAAATTGTAGAAGGTTGGGAGAGACATACATTGACGCTCCCATTGCAGTGCAGACCCTGGTGCCAGTCCCCTCTGTCAAGTCCCATGTGATTAGAAGTGCTGAGATCCACCTCATTTTCTTTGCTGATTTATTGGGTGGCCTTGCAAGACATATTTCCCTGGCCAACTATTTACCAAGCCCCAAATAGTGTCCCTCTTTGGCCACGTGTGGTGGCTCATGCCTGTAATCCCAGCACTTTGAGAGGCTGAGACGGGTAGATCACCTGAGGTCAGGAGTTTGAGACCAGCCAGACCAACATGGTGAAACCCTGTCTCTACTAAAAATATAAAAATTAGCTGGGTGTGGTGGTGGGTGCCTATAGTACCAGCTACTCAGGAGGCTGAGACAGGAGAATTGCTTGAACCCAGGAGGCAGAGGTTGCAATGAGCTAAGATCATCCCACTGCACTCCAGCCTGGGTGACAAAATGAGACTCTGTCTCAAAAAAAAAAAAAAATATTGTCCCTCCTCTCTCCAAACTCCCTGAAGAAGCAGACAAGATCAGCCACTTGAACTAGTGACATAAGCACTGGACTAAGAGTCAAGGAGGAAGTCCCAAGCCATATTCAGCTGTTAGTCAAGTCATTTTACCTCTCAGACTCTGGATTTCTTCATCTGAAGGATGAGGACTGTCTGATCTGTAAGGTCCCCAGAAGCCCCAAAGTCTATGATTCTCTATTTCAATAACCCCATCACAAAGGATACCTTCTCTGATCCACTCAGTCAGAATTCACACCAAATGAGTTCCTTGAGAGTTGGGATATCATTTTGCTCATCTTTCTATTCCCCTAAGAAACAACATGCCTTGATCTAGTTTAGATTCAATGAATTGTTTAGAGCTTCAATTAAAATATTAAAGCAAATGGTCACTAAGTAGAAACTAAAGAGAAGATGCCCAGTAGAAGTTGTGTTCAGGTCATGACTCCTCATAATTTAAAAATTTTCCTCCTTCA